TGCTTCCAATCTGTTGGCCATCATTTTGTTTTCCATATCTCTTGACATCTGTTGGTTAGCACTAATGTTGACTCTATCAATGTGGATTGCAGCAGTTCAATTGGGATATCATCTGTTCCTTGTGATTTGTTTTTGCTATTTCTCTTATTGCAGTTTCCACATCACTTTTTACCACTACCCATTCCATAGGATGTTGCCATGACAGTTAAAGTGGATTACAGCACATCACATATGTGTATAGTGTGAATGGGTCCCATCCCACTGCATGTGCATAGTTTGTGTTAGGTTTCTTCATGAAAAAAAACTAGCCTGCACCACCTGAAGTGAAAGGCACAACTGCCTTCCTCCTCCTCCTCCTCCTCCTCCTCCTCCTCCTCCTCCTCCTCTATTTTGCACCACACCAGATGAACCTGTCAGGATGATGTGCTCTATTTCACTGGGATTAATTATAGTGCCAGCCTGCATATTTGGAAGGGTTGCAGAGGAAGGAGGGGACATCTTAAGCTACTGGATTGCTTATCGTTTGACCCTGCCCCCTCCCGCTTCACCAGGAAAGGGAATTTGTCATTAGATCTTCTTAGAAATATCAGTTACATGGCAGTGCCTCAGAGGTGGGGTTGGGGGGTGTCTTGTGGGGAGAGGGATGGGGGGGAATGGATGTCTTTTTCTGGCCAACCAAGAACCCACAGAGTAGAACCTCATTAGCGAGGGTAATACTGCAAGCACCACTTAATGAATAACCTGCCTGCCATTAAAGTGTCAGGAAGCAGACGCTGTGAGGCAGGTGCTGTGGAGCAGATTGCGTTACATTTTTGCAGTTTATTAATATGGTCTCCTGATGTAATGTTGGAGAAAAAGCTTCCATAACTCTAGCTGTTCCTGACAACAGATGGGGACTGAGTGATGAGAACACAGTGGATCTCTTTTCATCCCCCCCCCCCCCCCCCCCCCCCCCCCCGGTCTCCAGGGAGTATTCAGTAGCATAATATGAACTCTACAGTTGCTGCAAGCTTTTGCAATCTGGAGAATGCTATGTGGCCCTGTAATCAAGAGCGCAATCAAACCAGGACTCTTCCAATGCAATCCCTGTTCGTTCTGATGAAGTTGGGAAGGAAGCAGCGCTTAGAGGATTCTTTGCCTCACAGGGTCAAGAAGTGGGTCAATCCCTTCCCCTGACACAGCTTTCCCTGGATGCCAGCCCAACTCCTGTTAAAAAGTGGCTGTAACCTAAGAGCCATCTGTCCTTACACTTGCTCTCTAGCCATGAGCATCAGGTAGAACTTCTGCTCTCATTTTGACAAAGTTTGACTGATGGAAAGCTGCTGTGACAGAGGGGAAATAAATCACCAGGGATGGGGAAGGGCAGGACTTACCATTTGGGCAGAGTGAGGCAGCTGCCCCAGGCAGAAGATTCTGGAGAGCAGAAAGGGTAAGTATATTGTTAGGTATTTAGTCTATTATTATTATATTTTTACAGCGAAGGCGAGAGCTATTGTAATATAGTGGCCGGAGTAGGACTCCAGAAGACCAGGAGTCCCAGCTCAGCCATGGAAGCCCACTGGGTAGTCTTGGGCAAGTCAGCCTCAGAGGAAAGCAATAGCAAGCCTCCTCTGAATAATATAAATCTTGCCAATAAAAACCTACAATAGGGTCAACTTAGTATAAGTCAGCCTCAACTTGAAGGCATGTAATGACAAAAATGGCCAGGGAAAGACTTTCTGCCTCTTGTGCTAAAAGAACATGCCTGGTTTAGAATACTATGCCCCTTCAGCTGGGGGAGGGATGGACACCATTTGCTCTTTTGCCTCAGGCAGCAGTATGTCTCAAGCCAACATTGGTGGCATACCACAAGTATAGTTCTGTTTGTGGTGCTAAATTCTGAACTGTTTGGTCCTCAACTGCCTGGAGAATTCCAGTCATCCCACCTTCATTTATTAGATATTATTAAATATAAAACACATAGAAACAAGTACAGAAGCATGACATACAAGGTATGTAAACATGAACCAATTACAGTCGGCCCTATGAATCCATGGATTTTGCATCCACTCATTCAATCATCCCTGAGAAAAAGAAGGAAGGACTGAAGGAATGCAAATCTGCTAAAGGAAAAAAATAGAATATCTAGAATCAGAAAAGCACAATACGTTCAAATACAAACCAGCATTTATCTTGAAGGAGAATGCATTTAAATCACATCTATTTTTATGAAGATTCTCAAATGCTTGCCTTCTGTTTCAGCATAATGAAAAGGCCTTCCAAGAGTTTAGATTGTTTTCTTGTAGTAATCTTACAAATATTAACCCAGCCATTGTATGAGAAATCCAGTTATAAGAATATTCCATTCATTAGAGGTTTGATCAGGATCAATAATTGCAAACCAGGTATTCTGTGCATTCCAAGAATGCAAGGAAGAGACATCCCCTCAAAGAAACAAAATGTTGCATTTCTGTGAAGGAAACCCCAAACTGAGTTCACTACAGCTAGGAAATAATAATGATAAAAAATGGATCCATAGAATCTATTTTGTGATCCAATGGACTGAATGATGAACTTGCTTCTGGTTGATTCTGAACTAGTTGTGGAGCCAGGATATTACATACATTTTTTATATGTGTCTAAGAAACAAAAGCAATACAGTAACTTAAAAACCACAAACAAGTCAATTCAAACAGCAGCAGAGTGCTTTGAAGAGTAGTGCAGACTGGAAAAAAAGTGAGATCCCTCAGGTGAATTTTATCTGTAGCATTTGTTCAAAAATGTTGCTCTCCCTAATGTTTGAGAACCTTTGGAACAGTGATCAAACTTCTAGGCCATGACTTTTGCTGATGCTTGAATTGTTTAATGGCCTTGTAATGGTAACTAAGACTACTGTATTGCTTTTGGTTTTCTACTTTGTCCCAAATGCGCACACACACAGATAAACACACTATATATATATATATATATATATATATATATATATATATATATATATGAAAAATCAGTCTCTAGAAGATGAGCCAAATTATTAGTTACAGTTTGGCTATGTCAGTCTTTTGAGTGCTCAACTCTTAAAAGTCTGAACTGGATCTCTATACAGTTGCCAACTGTTTTTTTGGAGGGGGATGGGGAAGGGGAAGGGGAAGAACCACCTCCTCTTTAAAACTGGTATGGCGTGGGCACAGAGAGCCAGTGTGGTGTGGTGGTTTGAGTGTCAAACCACAACTCTGGAGACCAGGGTTTGATTCCCAGCTTGGCCATGAAATCCACTGGGTGACTTTGGGCAATTCACATGCTCTCAGCTTCAGGGGAGGGAAATGGCAAATCTTCTCTGAACAAACCTTGCTAAGAAAAGCCCATGATAGGTTATCCTTGAGCTGCCATAACAGAAATGACTTGAAGGCACACAACAACAGCAACAACAACAACAACTGGGCACAGAACATGTTCCCCTCCCCTATTGAGAGTAGCAGTGCCTACTGGATTTTTCCAGTGCAGACAGGGGAGGATTTTGTTTCAGTACTTTTGAAGAACTTAACAAAATCAGGAAATTTCATATTCAGGCTGGAGGAGAGGAGGAGGGAATCAAACATCTAAATGCTTTGATTGCCAAAGGAAGCAAAATGGGGAGATTTCCCCTCTCCCACTTTTCATCCCTAATTTCCATGTTCTTAAAAACCACATTCCAGTAGGTAGCCTTCTTGATTTTAAAAGCCTTGTGTGGCTGCATTTTCTCAAAAATAAGTGTAATCTGAGTGCTCAGAAATGTAATATGCCCCCAACAGAAGCATTTCTTCATTGACAGATATTTGGATCATGTACAACTACACATTTGCCGCTCTGTAGATTAATCATGTGGGGGAAAACCCAACATATACATACTGTGAGAATGATTATAATAAAAGAAGTTTCTTTGCATTAAGAAGGAACTGAAAGAGAACATAAAGCACCTGAACACTGTGATAGTAATATTAGTTTGGTGATGAAGTGATAAGGCAGTCATTAGGAGACTCGCTGTTAGGTTTCAGATTGGAGTTTATATGTACAAATAGCAGTGGCAACTCATGTGAAAGAGAGGTGGTTGAAATATACTACTGTATGAGAGCCAGCATGATGTGGTGGTTTAAGTGTTGGACTAGACCAGGGGTTGGCAACCTACAGCCTGCGGGCTGGGTCTGGCCTGCCAAGGCCTTGGGACTGGCCCGTGGTGCTGTTGCTGCGTGGCACGTAAGCGCAGATGCCATTTTGGCATCCAAAATGGCAGCCGCACTTGCACCCGCATGTGCACGATGGCGGGCACCATTTTGGAATGCCCAACGGCACCTGCGCCATTGGGCCTTCAAAAATGGTGGCCCACATTGTGTGCATGTGCGTGGGATGCGGGGCACCATTTTGAAAGGCCCAATGGTGCCGGCGCCATGCAAATTTGCATGGTGCCGTTGCCGTTTGGCCTTCCAAAATGGCGCCCCCCCTTCGTGCACATGCATGCGCAACACAGGGTGCCATTTCGGAATGCCCAACGGCAACAGTGCTGTACACATGTGCGCAGCGTCGGCGCTGTTGGGAGTTCCAAAATGGTGCCCCCCCATGTGTACGCATGCGCGCAATGCATGCGTGCGCAAAAAAAAACCTTGCCGACCCCTGGACTAGACTCTGACGACCAGGATTCAAACCCCCACTCAGCCATGTAAACTCACTGGGCAAGTCACATTTTCTCAGCCTCAGAAAAAGGCAAAGGCAACCCGCCTCTGAATAAATCTTGCCAAGAAAAACCCATGATAGGTTTGCAATAACAAAGAAGTAAAGCACACCACTACCTTACTTAATGACATCATTGCATGAACAGCAGCCACTGAGAATTCAACATATTTAGAGTTCACCAAATGAGAAATTAGTAAAACAATAATACATGTGTATATAGTCCAGTAGTGTCACTTGGGGATGCAAGGGGTACAGACTGCACCAGGTGACACTCCAGAAGGGAGGTGACACTCAAGAAGGGGGGGGGTGATACCAGTCTGTTTGGGCCAGCACGGTCGCTCCTGGGCCCTGCATGGGGGCTTTTCGGGCCTCCTGGGCCCCGTGTGGGTGCTCCTTGGTGTATGAGAGCCAGAAGTCTGGGACCAGAAGTCCTACCCCTGGAAGCTGCACTCCCTGCACTAGGTGTCACCAGGCATGGGAACACCACTGATATAGTTTTTTCCCTTGGACAGCACCTTAGGTGATTTGATGGAACCATGTAAGAGAAATTCATCTTCTTTTAAACACTAACTTTTGCCTCTGTTGGACACTTAAGGGCCCAACAGAGCACCTTTGTTGGGCACCTTTGAGTAGGTGTTTCATTGACATGCTTGTTTCTGGAAACTTGGGCTGCTTGGCCTCATGGCGTATTACAAAAGAAAATGGCTGCACTGGTAAAGCAAGCAAGTGTTCAGCTGCTCTTTGTTCCTCCCTTCCCTTTGTTTCTGCCACAAATCCGGTCTAATAGAAACAAGTATTTATATTTGACTATTTTGTTGAAAGCATAGCTCGAATGTTAGAATTTCTTGGAGCTGGTAAGAAAGAGTGAGTAGGGTGTGTGTGTGTGTGTGTGTATTGAAATGAGGGTGAGAAGTCATGGTGGAAACAAATACAAATCAACCAGATAGCAGTATAGGCCAGGATCATTGGGGAACAACTATGAATACAACCAGTATGTTAGGGCTAAATGACAGGAGACTATCGCATAACAAGTTAAACTGGCTTACCTGAGCCAGCTTAAAATTTAAAATGGGTGGCATCCTGATTTTATTGCAAAGATTTAGCTGCTGAAATTGCCTCCTGATGCAGCCCGGGTCCATAGCCGCTCTTAGGGCCGCTCCAGTGGTCATTTCCTTAAACTGGAAAACTCCTGGCTTCAAAAAAAGCTGGGCTAGGCACCCCTGGGAACAGCAATGGACCAAGTCTGCACGCAGGTGGTGATTTCAGCAGCTAAATCCTTGTGATAAAATCAGGATGCCACCCATTTTAAATTTTAAGCCGGCTCAGGTAAGCCTGTTTAACTTGTTATGTGATAAGCTTCACAAACTAGGTTAAATGTGTAGCATGCAGATGAGCTTAACGTTGTTAACTGCAAATAAGCATGCAGTACCCAAGTCTGGATCAAGGGACGTTATCACACGTGGCCCAGAAACTGAAAATAAAGTGGA